GCTGCTAGCTGGGAGCGGAGGGGCAGCTCAGAGCCCCAGGCTTCACGTGGGCAGGGGAGCTTCTAGGCAGCAGACGTCTTGCAGGCTTACGTTTCCGTCAGGCCAGGGAGGAGCTGGAACGGGCAGCAGAGGTTCATCAGGTTTGTTCTGGACTCTGCGAAGCCCCCTGCCCCAGCCGCAGCTCCGCCGCAGAGGGCGCCGAGCCTGCTCTGGGCCGTGCGTCCAGGAGGGGTCGGGGGCGCCGTGGCCCAGCTCCTGATACAGCAGTCTCCACCTGGCTTGTTGGGGTTGGCTTCCTCCGGGCAGCCTCCAGGGCTCGTAGCGCTCCTCACCTTCGGAGCAAAGTTAACCTTGGAGGGTGTCGGGGGTCCCCACGGCCCGGGAGGATGAGGCGGGTCTGCGCGCAGACAGCTTTGCTTAGAGCCGTGCCCGGCGCCGCGTCAGGACTCGGCACACAGGACACGTGTCCTCGCGTGGTCAGCCCTTCTGAAGGGAAAGGCCCCCGGAGAGCCACCTCAGGCCTCCCGCTCCCCCCGTGCACTGAGCCCAGACAGAGAGCAGTGCACGAGTTGCAAGCCTTGTCACAGAGCCTGGGGGCTGGCTCTGCCTGCGCAGGGACCCCCCACGCTGTTGGCAACTCCGCCGTTGGGATGTGGGCGTTCTGTCCCTTTGCCTCTCCTTCTGGGGCCCCCGAAAGCCGCCCGTGGGGTCCCAAAGGCCCTCAGCAGACCTCCAGAGAGCATTTCAGGGTCTGATGTGGGGAGGCCTCTGGCCGGAGTGGCTCAGTCCCTTGAGCAAGATGGGCAGCTTGTATGCACATGGCCGATGGGCAGCCCTCCCAAGGGGCCACGTCCTCGTGAAAAAGGAGAGTGTTGCCTCAGTCCCTCACGGCTGCCCGTCCGCCAAGAGAGGCAGAGAGCAGCTCATGGCAGCACGTGGCCAAGGGCATGAGGATGGGCAGCCCCAGCGGGAAGGTTGCCGGCCACCTGGAGCAGTGAGCCTGGCTGACCCGAGGGCACCTGCCATGGTCCCTTGTTGACATGCATCTTTTGTGAATCTTACCCTGTCTATCTAGCTTTTAGGCTTAGATCTGTGAAAAGGAGGCAGATCAGAACCCACCCTGCCCCATCTGCTCCCCTGTGGCCTCCTGCCATCTCCACCTGGCGCCTCACGGGATGGGCATCTGAATGCAGCCCAGGGTCCCGAAGCCCATTCACACTGACCCCCATCTTGCCCACTGCACCTTCTTTCCCTTCTGGGGCCCGGGGACTTCTTCCCGCCATCACCTCTGCCTTCCAAAGGGGCAACCAAGCCAGGCTGCGTGGCCTGGCCATCACTCTCTGCCCCTTCCCTGACCTGCACTTCTTACGGTCCTGGCCCTGCCCCCCACCCCTGCACCCACACCCCTGCGGCCCGCCCGCCCCACCTCTTCCTCTGTCAACTCCTCTTTCCTGTAGAGCCGAGCCTCAGGGCCCAGAGAAGGAACAGAGTCCAGGCGGAGGGCAGGGCCCGCTCTCCAGGTTCTGCCTGCCCACCTTGGACAAGGCAGCCCCAGACGACGGTAGAGCTGGCCCCTCTTCAAGGCCGGTACTCACAGAGTATTTCCCCTAAATTCCCTTCCTTAGGGCCCCAGGGTGCTCCCTGCTGCCCACTTCTTGAGACCCGGGACAGAACCACACTGAGAGGCACCAGCAGACAGGCCTGGGTGAGCTCAGAACCAGGGAGGGGTACCCCTGAAAATGATATTAGGAAGGAGTGATAAGGGGTTGGTGTTGGGTATTAACCTCAGGGAGGAGGGCGCAGAGCAGTGATGCTGGTATGTTTAACAAGGGGGTTGGTCTGTAGTCATTGCCCCCAGCCCAAGGCCAGGAGCAGCCTGAGGGGCCCTGAAGGATCTGGGGTTTCCTGTTCACTCCCCTCCACCCTGCTGGGTACAGTCATGCCCAGGAATGTCCACCCAGAGCCTCTGCAACCAAGGGCAGACAGCAGCTCCCTGCAGGGTCACTCCGGGCAGGCTCGAGGCTCGGGGCTCTGGGAAGTACCTGGCAGCTTCTGGAGACTTGGGGCACATGGGCTTTTAGGGGGTGAGGCCACTCCATATCCACTGGATGCTGAAGGCTTGGGCTCCATCCCACCATGGTGGGAAGCCTTGGAAGGTTCTGGGGAGTTTGACATAATCTAATTCATAACCATTAATCAAAAAGGGGTTTGGGGGATGCCTGGATGGCTCCGTCGGTTAAGCGTCCGACTCTTGATCTCAGCTCAGGTCTTGATCTCGGGGTCGTGAGTTCAAGCCCCGTGTTGGGCTCCACGCTGGGCATGGAGCCTACTTAAGGGGAAAGAAAGTGGGGGTTGGGATGAGGGGCAAGGCAAGGTGAGGGTATAATTCATCTCATTTGAGAAGGGCCAGACCCAGGGGCGTGAGGGGCTCCCGCGGAAGCAGGAGAGAGGCTTCAGTGGAAGCCGTGCCCGTCAGCACACAGGATGGAAGGAGGGGAGACAGAAGGGCTGACTGCACTAGCCGAGGCCTCGGTGAGCCTGGGGAGGCCTTGTCCCTCGTGCCCAAGACCACAGCAGGGACCTGAGAGCTGAGCTGCCCCTGCAGCCCCAGGGAAGGCTCTGGAGAGTCGGGGCCGGCATGCGCTCCGTGTCCCCAACAGCTTTCAGAGGCCCAGGCAACATGTGCTTAGGGCCCCCTGACAGCCGGGGGCAGCCTGACCTGCTCCCCAGAGCAGGCAGCCTGCCCAGGTCAGAAGGGGCCGAGCAGTAGCTCCAAGCAGCCAGGAAGCTGGGACCACTCCCAGAGCCCTGGGAGACCCTGAGACAGACAGCGGGTTCCTGCTTTCGGGTTCATAGCTGCGAGGCCTTGGGCACGACGGAGCTGGACCAGCCACATGCAGGAGGCAAGTCCTGTGCACAAACGATTTTCCTGAAACCTAGTCAGAACGCAGTGCACAAAGAGCAGCCCCAGGCTGGGCTCTGCAGAGCGGGTCAGGCGGGAAGGGCAGAGCGGTGGGGAGGGTGTCACTGCTACAAACCAGCCGCTGGTCTGAGCGAGGAGGGCACATTTCAGGTGAGCCAGGGAAGACACACATCAGGGTCACAGGGTGTGTGCAGGGGGCGGGGGGGCAGCAAGCAGGCCTGACCCATCCAGCTTCATGCCTGAGCCAGGACTGCCCATGCCCTGGGGCGGTTGGCTACCTCCTCAGGGACGGCTCTGCCGGAGCCCGAAACCCCCGAGACCCCACAGCCGGCTTCCTTCAGGGGCCCTGCTCCCACTGCAAGCCTCATGGGGAGCATGGCCCCCCTCAGGGCCTAGGCTCTTCCTCCTCCCCGAGCCTCACTTTCTCCCCCACCCCCACCCCGGCGGCAGCGGATTGGGAGGGTGGACTCAGGCGAGGCCCACGGAATCCCTAAGAGGGCCGGTCCCTCACGTTGTGGGGTCAGGGTCCCAACCCTGCCCCTCCCCACTGGCTGCTGCCTTCCAGAAGGAAACCACGCAAGCAGAGGATGGGCCTAGATGTCATCAGCTATCAGGATGGGGCTGACGGGAAGTCAGGACCTGAGGGTCTGCTTCCAGAGACACAGGGCAGGAGAGCATGTGTGGAGGAGGAATTGCTCTGCGGCTAGAGAACCAAAGGCATGGGCCTTTCCTTCATGAGGGAGACGCAGCCATGGCCTTGGGAAGCGGAGAGGAACAGGGACATCCAGGGACCAACCTCACTCCACTCCAGGATCCTGGTGCTTGGAGCCTAGGCAATAGAAGGAGAGCAGGGCCGGGCGCCGGGACTGGGTCCAAGGGCACAGGAGGGGGGCCTAAGGCTGTGTGACCCCAAGGAGGCTGCAGGGAATGGAGCAGTTCCAGGTACTCAAGAGGACAGAAGAGGCCCAAGTGAGAGCCAGGGACCCGGGTACACGTGGCCGACCTCCAGCTCCCAGTGCTGGGGACACTGCAGGCCCACGGCGTGCACCACCTGTGTGTGCTTTCCGAGGCACGGGCCTTCTGCTGTCCCTTCGGCCTGTCCTCAGGCCTGGCCCGGGGGTCCCCGCCACGCGGCATCCCCCCCCTGTGCTGCACGCCACCCTGTACCGGCCGGGCCCCAGGTGGTCGGCTCCGAGACGCTGGGCACGTGGCGTGCGTGTAACCCGTGTGTCTCGTGTGTGAGATGCTGGTGCCAGGCCCCCCTTCCCCTGTCTGTGCTCTCTGGGGCAGCATTCCCATCCAGTGTGGACCCTCCTGGGGCTCCACAGACCCCGGCCCTACCTGCTGGGCCAACGCACAAGGGAGAGCCACTCTGACCTTGCATCTTATAGCTGCTTCCTAATAACATCTTTTTTGTTTTGTTTTTTACAAAAGAAACACACTCCTAGTTCTAAAAACTTGGCAACTAGAGAAGAGCTTGGAAACTGAAAGTCTCCTCCCACGCCCTAGTTCAGAAACACCGTGGTGGCCGCTTTGGAAGGGCTGCCCCTGAGTGTCGGCCCACGTGTACGGCATGTGGCCCAGGCCCTGGGTCCTTGGCCTGTGCTTGGACACACATGTCAGGGCTGCTGGGCGGTTGGGGGTGCTGGTGAGCACGGCCAGCAGACAGAGGGTGCTTGACAGCTGGGGAAGGGCCTGAGAGGTGCTGTGGGTCAACCATTAACCTGGACGCCCCGAGGGGGCCCATTACGAAATGGTCCCGGCAGGAGATGACATTTTCAGGGGCAAATGTCCAGAGTGCCAGTGGAGGGGCAGGCCCAGGCCCTGCGGTGCATCTGGAAAGCATGTGTCCCAGGGGCCTCCTGTGCCAGGACCCCAAGCCACAGCTGCTGCCCTTGAGCACCTTCCCTGGGGAGGACCTCTGGCCTGCTAGGCTCTGGAACGAGAGCCAGGGCGTGGGGTTTCTGGGTCCTGCAGGCTGGAGGCACAGCCGCTTGGCTTATACTCGGATAGCCTAGGCTTCCCACCCCTTCCTGCCCTTCGTGCTGTGACAGGCCCTTCTCTTGCTGTTCTTCAGTAGAGTTCACGGCACGTCCAGCAGCCGACAGCCTCGGACACCCGGACAGGAGCCCCGTGGGGACACGGGCAGCCTTTGCCATCGAAGGGATGAAGATGGAAGCACAGGCAAAGGCCAAGCCCACCAGACCCTCCAGGGCTCACCCTGCAAAAACTAAAGGCTGCCAGAGACCCCCCAAGATCCGTAACTACAATTTGAAGGACTGACTTCTTGAGACTTCCTTCTCCCACGCCCTCCCCCTTCCCCTCCCCTCCCGTGTTGGTGCTTGAGACCTGCGCTTTCACCATGCATCAGGGGGGTGTGTGTGCAAGCACCCACATGTGCACGAGGGGAGTGCGAGTGCGTGTGTGCGCGCACAGCTGCAGAGCGGCTTCCCCAGGCTCTGACCGACCCAGAGCCATTAAAGCCCCTGCCTCCGGTGCTCTCGCTGGGCCCTGGAGTTACTGACCTGTCCTACAGTGCCCCAGTGACATGGGGAAGGAAGCCAGGAGGGCCCCCGGGGGCGGGGGTCACAGACAGCGCGGCCTGATGAGGGTGTGGGGGCACGGGGAGCAGAATGCCCACCCACAAAGTAGGCGTTTCCCCACAGAGTGCTGCACGTGGGAGGGGACCTCCTGGAAGAAGGGAGAACGGGGGTTCTGGGTGAGCCAGCGGCCAGACCAGAGGCCTGCTCCCCTGCTCATGTCATGTCATGATGGGGTGGGGGTGGCACTTCCAGTGCTCGTTGGCCCCGTGAGACCAACCCAGCGGGTCAGTCTGGAGCCTTCCACGTCCACACCCCCCCCCCACCGCGTAGGACAGTAGTGGGGCATCCCTGACAGCTAGATGCCTGGGGCCCGGCACCTGATACCCTTGCTCCAAGTACCACAAAACCACACCCACACTTCCCCACCCGAAAAACGTCTCATAAATTCTAACCACACAGGGGCGCCTGGGTGGCTCAGTTGTTAAGCGTCTGCCTTCGGCTCAAGTCATGATCCCAGGGTCCTGGGATCCATCCCCGCATCCGGCTCCTGCTCCGCGGGGAGCCTGCTTCTCCCTCCCCCACTCCCGCTGCTTGTGTTCCCTCTCTCGCTGTGTCTCTCTCTGTCAAATAAATAAATAAAATCTTTTAAAAAAAATGGGTGCATTTTATTGCATGTAAGTTATAAGTCAATGGAAGCACTTTTTTCCATCAGGAGCAGCCGTGGTCTAGTGAAGGTTCCTGGCGGGCGTCAGTGTTCTGCTCTGTATGGTCTGTCTCTCTCCTACCGTGGAGAAAGACAGCACTGTCAGCCGGCGTCCATTCGAGGTCGCTGCAGGTCCTCAGAGGATCCCAGTAATTGTTATCAATTTACTGGGCTCTCTTAATTATTCTGCACTGTGGAACTTAGGAGCTCCTGGGGGAGGTCATCACGGTAGCCCGTGTTCTCGCCGCGGGGGCCCCGGGCTCCTTGGAAGGGCCCCAGGAGCCCCTGGGGTTGGCAAGGGTGAAGACACAGCGCTGCAGCTTTAAAAAACATTAAACCCGGGTATAGAACAACCCTACTTCCGTTTTCTCTCTCTCTCTCTTTTTTATTGAAGTATAATTGGCAGTTTCCTGTTGGTTTCAGGTGTGACATCCGCTTTCTCGTCTCACAGGGGCTATCTCATCCCTGGAGAAGGCTGCAGATCTCTGTCACGCTCATTTACCTCTGCTAGGGAAAGGCCACCAGGAGGCCCCCAGCCAGTCACAGACGGTGTGTAGCAAAGTGCACTCCCAAAACAGGCGGCCATCCCGCTTGGAGTTTTCTTGCTGTTTCTGGTATTTTATTATATTTACTAGGTGGTTGCCGTTCTAGAGGGAAGTTCCCAGAGTTGGTGGGTCGGCCTGCTCACCCCATTGCTGAGCTCCCACGCTCATTCCAGCAGTCAGCAGTTTGTCTTCCCTAAGAACATCACTAAGTCATCTTCAAGTGATGACTCTCTCTTTCTTCCCCTCCAAGCCTATACTCCTGATTTCTCTTTCTTTCCTTGTAGAGTTGGCTGGGCCCCACAGCCATAGTATGGTGGGCATCTCATCCACTCACAAAGCCAGCAATGAGGCTGGCTTTTCCACTAAATATGTATGATTGCTGTGTTTTAAAAATATACCCTCTATCAAATTAAAAATTTCCTTTATATTCCCAATTTACTAAGAGTTTTCATCACAAATAGGTGTTAAACCTTATCAGTTTTTTTCTGCATTGATTATGACAGACATGATTTTTTTTCTCTTTTCATTTATTGATGTGGTAAATATGGTGGTAGATTTTCTGAAAAGAAGCCAGCCTTGCATTACTGAGACAGATTTTTCTTGATAATGATGTATTCTTAATACCTGCCTGATTTGATTTGATAATGCTTATATATAGTTTTTACAACTGTATTTACAAGTTAAATAAGCCTGTAGGTTTTTCTTGTGTTGTCCTTATATGGTTTGGGAATAAAAGTAGCTGGGCATCTTTCATTCTTTTTCACTTTTCTGAATAATTTGAATAAGATCGAAATGAAGTGAAAATTCAGCAGAACCACCTGTAAACCCATCTGAGCCAGGGGCCTTTGGGAAGAGAATTGTTGAATGCTGTCTCAATTTCTTAATACTTTTTTTTTTAAGATTTTATTTATTTATTTGGCAGAGA